CGCTCCTCGGTCGTTGCCTGGCTGAGGAGCTGGATGAGGGACTCCACTTGGGAGAGCGCTGAATGAATCCGGCTCGAGGGGCAGCAGTTGCCGAGAATGTCCTGGAGGTCGGAGAAGACGCTGGCTGCGGGGAGGGCCTGCTGGATGCAACCGTTGTGCGCAGAGCGAAGAAATTTCAGACACCGCCGAAGACTTTCCTCGGGGGCGCGGGCGCCATGGTGTTCCATCCTGCGTTTGACTTCGGAGCTGCCCTTTGTGGAAGAGGCGCTTCACCCCGATCTCGTCGGCCCATTTGTCGGCAGTCCGTGCAGAGCGGAGCTCATCGAGCACGATGCCCCAAAGCGGGTGCCGAGGTGCCCAGCTTGGAATAGTCGGGGATCGAGCTGAGCTGCCGCGCTGCCGCCAAGTGAAGAGGACGGGGGCGCGGTCGCTCAAGTCGAAGCGGGGGAGCGCGGCAAGTCCAGGAGAGGCAGGGCGGACGTCGAGGTTGCTCAGGAGGCAGCCCGGTAGGGATGTGAATATGCCGTCGATCCAGCTGTGCTGAAGATGTCCTGCAGCGTCGAGCCCTTTCCTAGTAAAATCGCCCTGCAGCAGCCCGGTGAGCAAGTCAAGACAGGGCAACATGTCGAAGGTGGCCCCGCACGACGGTGCCAGTGAAGGCACCCGCAGTGGCAACAAACTGGTCAGACTCACATGCAGCTGATTTGAAGTCCCCAAGAAGAACGAGTGGGCTCATAAGAGGCACGAGACAACGAAGACACCTCGTCCAGGAGCTGTTGCCGGTCTCCCTCAACACGCACACCGAGCATCACCAGATGCCCCCGTGACCCAAGTAGAGAAAGAGCGCAGAGTCGAACATCGTTACGCGAATTGAAGTTGATCTCCAGATAAGAAGAAGAAGAGGAGGAGGAGGAGGAGGAGGAGGAGGAGGAGGAGGAGGAGGACGAGGACAAGGACGAGGACGAGGAGGAGGAGGAGGAGGGGGAGGGGGAGGGGGAGGGGGAGGGGGAGGGGGAAATCGGCGAGGAACGTGCTCTTGACCGCAATGCCGATGCCCCCGGCGTTCGGGGCAGCGTCCGAGTCACACCAAAAGCAGCGGCGGTCCCCACAAAGAGCTGCCGCTCAAAGGAGGTTGTGCTTCTCCGCTGGGCAGAGCGAGCCTCGAGGAAGATGGTGATTGGAAGCTTGGAAATTGGCACAAACACCAACATCAGGGGTTGCCTCCACGGGAGGAAGATGATCCTGGATTTTGGTGTTGGTGGTAATCTTTCGGCCACCTAGAAAGCCCGAATATTACCACCATCACCTGGATCGGGATCATCTTCCCTCGGTGGAAGCACGCCGCCGATATTGGTGTTGGTGTCAACCTCTAGGCCTTCGAGGTGAAGTCGTGGCGGCAGGCAAGGTTCGCGGCGCATCTGGATTTGAGCTTCCTGCGTCGCGGGCAAGCCCCGTGCATTCCAGACGCGCCTGGAGGCCTCCCGAGAAATACTTGGAGCAGGCAGCACGGGAAGCAAAACGGAGACTAGGAGGAAGAAGGGAAGAAGGTCATCCAGCAAAGCTCCCTGCTCTCTGAGCGGACGCGTTGAAGAACATGTGGCTGTCGGAGCTCGTCCCGGAGAGCGCACTTGAGGAATCGCACGAGGCCCCCGGCGCAGAAAGAAATGAGGAAGAAGTGGAGGATGCGTGCGTGCACAAACCTCGATAAAGTAGTCGACTTATCCGGCCATGCCGGAGGATGCATGTCGCCGTACTCTTCTGCATCATCACGCCGCTGTGGACGCCATCAGCGCGAACGCCGCTGAGAGTCCACCTCGGAGGCCATCGAGGCCACCGTCTCTAGAGAAAGATCCCACCGTGTCCAGCCCGTTGGTGTGAACGCGGGTGGAGCTGCCGTCCTCCAGAACCGTGTAGATCGTGATCAGCTGCCCCATGCCGACACTGTCGATTAGCACCTCACCCTTGCCACGGCGACACCCGACCTGGCCTTGGATGCCTTTGGACGCCATGTGCTGCTCCAGCTTCTTCCATAACTGTGAGATCACCCATCCCCGGACACGCTCGTCGGGTGACTGGTCCCATCGAAGGGAAAGCGGCTCAGACTCCGAGCCAAGAGTAATCCGTGGGCCGGCGCGGATGGACTCCTCGAGGACGGCCCTCGCCACGGCGGAATCGTGGAAGATGAGGCGAGCGTGGGTGGTGTCGCTGGCCGCGCGGATCTGGGGGAGCGGCGTGTTCGGGGAGAGCGACTGGAAGACCGTCTCCGCACGCTTGACCAGCTCAGCCCCCAATGAGGGTCATTTTGTCCCTGGCATGTGCACTCGCTACAGCGGCCTATGCGCCTCTGCAGCCAACTATCTCGCTCTGTGCCCCAGACGATACATTCCCGCTCGCTGGATCTGTCCTTCGAGCCGCCCATCAAAAAACTTGACCAGCGCCTTGGACCACATGGGAAATGGGAAGCCCTTGAGCAAGAGGGCCTTGTCGTCGGGGTCGTCGGTGCACGCCGCCCGGTAGCCGGGGCCCTCGCCGCGTGCACGCTCGGTGCCAACAGCGCCGTCGCCTCGGCTCGGGACTCCAAGGCAGCAGTCCTCTCCTGGAGCTTCCGGATCTCGCCCACGAGCTGCTCCTGTTGCCGCTTGAGGCGAGCTTCGAGTTTGGTGCCGACGAGCTGCCCCGTCTCCTTGATGAGGTCATCCTGCAGATCCCTGCGAAGCTTCCCGAAATGGGTATCCAGCAGGGTCTGGACGTCACTGAGCTGCGCCGTGGATGTGCAATGAAGCTGGTGGAAAGGACTAGATGTGGAGTCCTGGGTGCACGGAGAAGTAGGAGGCTTGAGAAGTGGGAGACTTGAGACTTGAGCCAAAGAGGCAAAGAACCTTGAGCCAAACTGGCTCGAGCCATGCTGCTGGCACCAGCAAAGCCACAGCGAAAACCAGGCACTTCTGCAGGCGGCCGAGGGGGATGCGGAGGAGATGAGGGGGCGGAGGAAGCGGACGCGGAGGGCCCGGGGCCTCCAGGCTGGGAGTCACGCATCGGCCCTCTGGGCGCAGGTGGTCCAGGGAGCTCTACGTTCTAAGCTCCTTCCCCCCCCCCCTTCGGGGAAGGGGTTCACTCCATGCTCCTGCCCGCTCCTTCCCCCTCAAGGGGATTTACCCCATCCCCCTGACCCAGGTCGCAACACTTCCCCCCCTTGACTGTGGACTAGATGTAGCTGGCAATCTGGCGCGATGGCCGCCCCCGTGGCCAGCCGCGAAGTCGAGGGCGAGGCACATGTGAAAATATGTGTTGGGAGAAGCCACAGGTTTGGGGACAGGGGGGGACCTCTCGGGACTCTCTTGGTGCTCCTTTGGGTGCTCTCGGGGCCCTGCTGAGGCTCTGCTGGGGTCCTGATGGGGCTCCTTTTACGGCTTCGTGGAGCCTGAGGGAGCCCTCATGGGGCCGCCTTGCGATCAGCGGCCTCCCGTGTAGGCCTAGTGGAGGCCAGCCTGGACAATCTTGGACCATCGCGTGCCGCCCTGAGGGCTATCTTGGAGATCGCCTCGCCCTGTCTTGGCCTGCCGATGTCAAGACGGGAGCCACATGGAGCCACACGCGCCGGCACTGTGGCCGAGGGGCGGCTGGAGCGGCTGACCCACCCCTCCCATGGAACTGGATCGAGGTTCCGCGAGGGGTTCGGGCGTCCAACATGGCCCTAGGTCCAAAACGAGTCCAGGCTTGCCAAGAGGCTCTCCAGGGTGGCACAATATTGCTCATGAAAGCCTCGCACATGCCGCAAGACCGCCAGAGAACGGCCCCAAGCGGCCACGGAGCCACCCAAGGATGCTCCCGAGAGGCCCAAATACTTCAATCACGTAAAGGAATTCAATGACTTTGGTCTTCTTGCCCTGTCGCTTCCGACGGGCTTCTGGCCTCAAGATGGCTCAAAGACTGCAAAAAAGCACCCCCGAGATCGCCCCGAAACCTTCGCAACCGAGCCCCAATAGACAGTTCTTCGAGCCCGAAGGGACAACGCTAATCGCATTTGCCTTTTGATCAATGTCCTCCAGAATGCCCAACTTGACCCCAAAGATGACCCCAGCAGAACCCCAGAGTCTTTCAAAGTGGCCCCAAGACCGCCCCAATATTGCCCCTATAAGCCTCCAATGGACACCCAGATGGAAATTGCTCTGCGACTGTTAACTCCCTGGTCTGCTTAAGCTGATCCTGAGCTTCGGTTTGACGACCGTCCCCCTCTTTGTCGCGCTCACGCTCATGCATTCTACACTTCCCTGGTCGAGGCAAGTCGCCTGGGTATCGTTTCTGGATGGGCTGACGGTGATATTGGAGCCGTCAAGAATCCTGAAGGAAGAGGAGGAGGAGGAATAGGAAAATGAGAAAAAGGAGGAGGAGGAAGAGAGATAGGGAAAGGAGAAAGAGGATGATGATTGATTGATTGATTGATTGATTGATTGATTGATTGATTTATTGATTGATTGATTGATTGATGATGATGGTGATGATGATGATAATGATGATGATAATGATAAGGATGATGATGATGATGCTGCTGATGATGATGATGATGACGATGATAATGATGATGCTGATGATGGTGCTGATGATGATGATGATGATGCTGATGATGCTGATGATGCTGATGATGCTGATGATGCTAATGATGCTGATGATGATGATGATGATGATGATGATGAGGAGGAGGAGGAGGAGGAGCACCAGCAGCTAACCAAACGTGCACGATATCATGTACAACATTCAAACAAACGTCCATGACCCCCAGGAGCCCAGCACCCCGCCCCCGAACACCCGAGAGCGCCTGGACTTCTCAAGGGCCCTCCTCTTCTCCTTCGGCAGCTCGGTCCAGGCTGGGCCCGACAGGGGTCCTCGGCTTGCTCTTCTTCCTCCTCCTCTTCTCCTCTTCCTCCTCCTCCTCTTCCTCCTCCTCGTTTTTCTTATGGCTCTCTCTCTCTCTCTCGCTCTCCCTTTTCCCCGTTTCGCGCCTGCGACGCCAGCCTGGGGTCCTGCCCACGAGTCAGCGGGAAGGTGCCCTGCACCTGAGCTCGCCGCGGCTCTCCCTGCAACTTTCCCCCGCGCCCGCCTCTCATCCCCACGTCACCTGCTCCCCGCCCCTTCCCCCCCTTCCCCCGTCTTGCCCTCTCCGCATTCCCGACGCCCGCCCTGTTAACCCCTGCCCTCTCCCGCATCGATCCCCTCCCCTCTGCTCTGCACTCTCCCTCCCCCCCTCTCCCATCCGCAGCTGCACCACCTGAAGACTCCGCCACATCTCCAGCTTCCCGAGGGCCGCTCCGAACGGGCGGCTCGCTCTCGCGACATTCCAGGGCATCGTTCCCAACACTCCATCGCCTGGCCACATCGGCAGGCAACCGTACGCGTCGGTCGGAAGAAGCAGGTAAAAACATGAAGTGGTAAGGCGGATCAAGTAGATTGGGTCCCGGCCCTCCCAGAGAACAACCAATCACAGCAAAAGCATGCCGATTCTTGCAGTAGGAAGGCGCTCGAAGTAGATCGGGATCTGGGAATCCAGGAATACCTACTTTCAATGACCGGCGTGTATGCTCCGAAGAACACCCGACGTGCTGCTGCGAGGCAGCTGCGCGGGCGAGGCGAAGCTGTGCGCGGGCGAAAGGCACTGTCCTTTTGCGGGGGGGAGACGCGTGTCTGCGTGCGGCCTCGCGGTGGCTGGGGGTGTCCTGCGGCTGTCCCGCGATTGCTACATAGGCAAATGGGTATTCCCCAAGGGCTCAAAGCTTCGCGCTTCGCGCTGCGCGAAGCGCGAAGTGCGAATAACCGCGCTCTCGTGCCGCCTCCCAGGGGAGAAGAGGCGGAAGAGGAGGCATCGGAGCCGAACCGCGAAGCGCGAACAACTTCCCGCCCTCGAGGGCGCCCCTGATTCCCTGTTCTATATATATATATATATATATATATACCAACCAGGGGGGGTGGGACGCCCCCCCCCTCCCCCAAACGGCCCCCCCCTGGATCCGTGGCCCAGGGGGCTGGACGCCCTGGCCCCTAAAGGAGGCCCCCCCCCCCCCCCTGACACTCCGGAGCTCCAGGAAACCCGACGAAGCCTCCCATGGCCCCAATAGTCCCGCCAGACGCCCGAAGACGACCAAGAGAAGGCCCCCAAGAGGCTTTCGAGATGCAGAAAAACGTAGATTTCCAGTCGTCTTCGCATGATCTTGGGAATGCTTTGCTCTTCGGTCTTCCAGGCGTCCGAGACCGCCCAGGAGGCCCTCAAAATCACTCGCAAACGATCCGAAAGGGCTCCCAGGCAGTCCAAGAGAGCTCCAGGACGGTACAACAGTGTTCCAAGATGGCCCAAAGAGAGCCACATGACGGCCCAAGGTGGCCCCAAGACGTCCCCCGAGTCATTCCAAATCGTGACCCGGTCGTTTAGCGAGACCCGTTGGAAGCAGGGTGACCCGAAGAAGCAACCAGAGGCCACCTGAAGGCGCCCAAAAGGCCTCCAGAAGGCCCCAAGAAGCTCTTAAAATCTTCGCGAGGCCGCCGAGAGGTTCTCCAAACAGTAGCCTCCGCAAAAAGAGCTGAGGAGGATGGGGAAAATTTGCAGGGGAGGGCGAGAATGCAGAAGAGGAAGAGGAAACATGAGGGACAAATAATGAATGGTATGTTTAGAACGCCGATGCCGGAAAATGCAACAAAGAGTTATCGCGAAATTATTTGTTTTGCCTTCCTGCCCTTCCGCTTGCATGCCAAACTTCAAGGACCAAGTTGCATGGCCCGAAACGCCAATGCAGTCTTGTATGTCTGTATATCCACATTCACTCACAGCTATCTATATGTGTAAGTATAGGACTTGCATGCAGACACTACATACCCACAACACACATATTGTTTGCCAGAGTGTACGCAACCAATGCATTGCACCTGTGATGTGTAAGATCTGTGGTGCAAGCTATGCGGTACAAGCTATGCTTGGGAGATCTGGGGTGCATGGTGTGTGGCGTGACCAGAGCGGCGCACGTTCTGCAGTGCAATCTAGACGGTTCAACGTATACGGCGTGAGCTGTGCGGTGCAGCACACGTGGTGCAAGCTGTGTGCTTACACCTGCGCGGCGCAGGGTGTGTGGTGCAAGCTCGGCGGTGTGAGATACGTATGCAAGCAAATCATGTGTTGCAGCTGGGGTGGCTCCATGCATGTGTTGCAAGGTCTGCGGTGCAAGCTCCGTGGGAGGAGGTGGAGGTGAGAGGCGGAGGAAAAGGAGGAGGAGGAGGAGGAGGAGGAGGAGGAGGAGGAGGAGGAGAGGTAGGAGGAGAGGTAGGAGGAGGAGGAGGAGGAGAGGAGGAGGAGGGAGGAGGAGGAGGAGGAGGATAGGAGAGGAGGAGGAGAGGAGGAGGAGGAGGAGGAGAGAGGAGGAGGAAGAGGAGGAGGAGGAGGAGGAGGAGGAGGAGGAGGAGGAGTGCAAGCTGCGTGGCGCGAGCCCGGTGTGAGCCCGGTCCGGTGGCGGGCGGTGACGAGGCGGCCGCGGGGCGGCCACGGCGGCGAAGCCTCGCCGGACCCGCCCAAGCGCACGAGGGCCGCGAGGCGGCCGCGGGGCGGCAGTGTGGCGAAGCCTCGCCAGGCCCACCCAGCGCACGAGGCGGCCACGAGGCGGGGCGCGTGGCGAAGCCTCGCCGCAGCCACGCGGCGCCCGAGGAGGCGGCCACGAGGGCGGCCACGGGCGGCGGCGCGGCGAGACCGCGCGGTGCTCATGCGCTGGCTTCTGACGCCAGCGAGAATCTCGGAGTGCAGGCACGGCTTAGGAAGGATGCAGATGATGCATGCGCATGTGTGGATCTGTAGGCCGCCATGTTGCCATGCCTACATACCTTCTGCACATACTGCACGCACTTCTGCGTATATGCACACACCGTGTGACATGAACATGCGGATCGACGCTTATACATGTATACATCTGTTATGTGTAGATGCATGTGTAAACAAGCGTGCTGTAACTTCACATGCGCCTATCCATCACCATACATACATGTACACATGAATTAGAAATTATGCGTGTACACATAAGTCGTAGGACTTGTATCCGCCACCGTGCCTCTGGGCACGGAGTGGGCGTGTCCTCAGGTCCACTGAATAGTTTTTACGGGGGCCCGGACCCCAAATTCCGAACCTAAGACGGCTTAATAGAGCCCCAAGAAGCCCCCAAGACGGTCCAAGAGGGCCCCGAGTCGCCGAACCAAGATGCCTCCAAGACGCCCGAAGAGGCCTCCAAGAGGCCTCCCAAGAGGGCCCCAAGAGGTCAAAATCATGAATTGTCGATTGGTTTTTGACGCCAACGCTCCCAGATGGCCCTCGAGGCCCCCAAGGAGGCCCCAAAACTGCCCAAGAGGGCCCCAAGACGGCCCAAGAGGCGGCCAAAACGGCCCAAGAGAGCCCTAAGACGTTCCAAAAAGGGGCCTCAGAGAGGGAACTCGAACCGAGAAACCCAAGCCTTCCGCTCCAAGAGGCCCCCAGGAGGCTCCAAGAGGCGCCCAGCAGGCCCCACGAGGCCCCCGAGAGGCCCCCGAGAGGCCCCGAGAGGCCCACAAGAGGCCCCCAAGAGGCCCAAAACGGCCCCCAAGAGGCGTCCAAACTGCGTCCAAGAGGCCACCGAGAAGCCTCCTGCGAGATCCACGGACATCCCACATGCCTCATACCCAGAATCAGGCACGGTGGCGGGATGGCCCGATGGCCATCAATATCCGCCGCCCCCTTGCCACAGGGGTGCGCCAGCACGAGGAGGAGGAGGAGGGGAGGAGGAGGAGGAGGAGGCGGAGGAGGAGGAGGAGGAGGAGGAGGAGGAGGAGGAGGAAGAGGAGGGGGAGGAGGGGGAGGAGGAGGAGGAGGAGGAGGAGGAGGAGGAGGAGGAGGAGGAGGACTTTCCCCAACTTTCCCCCCAGGACGACGTCCCTAGGAGGAGGAGGAGGAGGAGGAGGAGGAGGAGGAGGAGGAGGACGAGGAGGAGTGATGTGCTGGATCCTACTGCTTTGCTTTTGGCTCTTTCCCCCGTGGGGCTCCAGCCCAGCGCGTCGGCCACCCAGAAGGGCCCCGCCTGCTGCGCCACCAAGCGTCGCCCCAAAAACGGCGGTTTCGCCGGGGACATCCTCAACATATCGCGATTTTGGTGGGATCGCACGACGACGACGACGACGACGACGACGACGACGACGACGACGACGACGACGACGACGACGACGACGACGACGGCGGCGGCGGCGGCGGCGGCGGCGGCGGCGGCGGCGGCGGCGACTGCGACGGCGACGGTCCAACGCGCCTGATGAGAATGAGCGTTTCGCGCGAGACTTCCTCGAAGAATTTCCGCCCTCAGAAGTCTCCAGGGCGGGCCAAGACGGCCCCAGAGGCCTGCAGGAGGCCTCCACGACGGCCCGAGAAGCCTCCAAGACTGCCCACGAGACCTCCCAGAGGTCCTCCAGGAAGGCCTGAAGAGGCCAAAATCATTGACTTCCCTTTGATGTTTAAAGATTTGGGCATGTGCTTCTTTTCGGCCCCCCGACGGTCCGAGACGGCCCAAGAGCATCAGAAAATCGCCCCAAGATCGCCCAAGTGGCCTCCAAGATGGCCCCAGAACGGCCCAAGAGGCCCCCAAGACTGCCCCAAGAGGGCCCCAAGTCGGCCCAGAGAGGCCCCCAAGACGGCTTCCGACGGCGTCAAACGGGCCAGGAATGCCCTAAAACTGCAACATAAGCTCCCGTGAAGCCCCCAAAGGCCCCCAAGAGGCCCAAGGAGGCCCCCATGATGCCTCTAAGAGGCTCCCAGGAAGATCCCAGGAGGCCCCAAGAGTGCCCCCAGAGGCTCCCAAAGATGCCCCCTCGTCGCCTTCCCCTTCCTGATCTTCCCCGCCATCATCCCCAAGTGTTCCCCAACTGGTTTCTACAACGACTGGGGGAACACATGGTCCGACAGCTTGGCAGAGCTCTTGTCACAACGCTCGGCCCCATGGGCGATTCCGAAAGGCAGGGGGCGGCGGTGATTCGCCGCAGGCGTCTTCGATATGTGTACTCACTGGTGGACATA